CAATCTCCTCAGATCTGCTTCCTCCCACTAAAGCTAAGTAGCCCAGGACTAACCATCACATCTGTTTTACCAGGTAGACTAGATCTTTTCTAGAAATACCTCAGTTGATCTCATATGAGAGTTCATTATGGGCATATGCAAAGATTCGGTGAGTCCTGAAATAGAAGCAAGGCTGCCTATCCTATCACTTTGCCACTTTAATGTCTCTACACACATTCTACTCATATCCCAAACTGATATGAAATAATTTCTGAACACCAACTAGTGCCAGGTTCTATGCTCAATACTTTATCCCTCCAATTCTCCAATCCCCTTTTATAGGTAAAAGAGCCATATATCTAGGATATATGGTCCCTAGCCATATATCTAGGATGCAAACTTAGGTCTCACCTAGGCAGAACCCTTTCCTCTGCATCACAGTGCTTACCAAAACATGGAGCACTTCAGGACACATCCAAGGAAATACTTAGGTATCAAATGTATATACAGATAGCATAAACCATTATACCCAATTTCATTAATTCATTAATTTAAAAATCAGAAATCTGACATTGAATTTTATCTGTTGGTTAGAGATCTAGCTAAGTATCTGAAAACACAAACCACATAAATTGACACTTTTTAAAAAATCCTCATCTGAGGACATTGTCATTGATTTCAGAGAGAGGGCAGGAGAGAGAGGGAGAAACATTGATCAATTGCCTCCCATATGCCCCAAGTGGGGTACGAACTCGCAACCTAGGTATGTGTCCTGACCAGAAATCAAACCTTCGACCTTTCAGTGTACCAGACGATGCTCCAACCAACTGAGCCACAATGTCCAGGGCAAGTTGATACAAATTTTATTACTTAACTATTAGGAGTCTTTAGCCAGTAGCAAATCACATCTGTAACTTATAAGGACTTGAAATAACTAACAACTAAATCATTAGAAGTAGTATACATTACTTGATTAGAATGTCATCCTGATACACCAAGGTTGTGGATTCAATCCCCAGTCAGGATACATACAAGAATCAACCAATGAATGCACAAATAACTGGAACAAATTGATGTTGCTCTCCCTCCCTTCCTCTCTCCCCCTTCCTCTGTTAAAAAAAAATATTAAGGGATTGCATGGCAATTTCACTGTCGCATCTAAACAAGAGTTTAGTTATGCTAACGGTGTGTTGTAGGGCGAGTTCTGAAGCTACACAGAGTTGCAGACATTGCAGTTCTTTTCTCAAAAGTTTAGATCACAGATTCTGCATAACTACCAGCCTGGGAAGAGAAAGCGGAAGGTCAACAGGCCAGTGTGTGCCTTATACACACCACACCTTCTTTTAACCCCAAAACGTGGGGGTCAAGTCAGCTTCAAGGAAGCGAAGAAGCTCATTTGAGGAACGGGAGGCAGAATAATAGGAAAGACATTTTTACATCACTGATTATTAATCAGTGTCACTATGGCAAAATAACACTCGGGAGTCAGGCAGAGCTGGATTCAAATTCTGATTCCTCTACCTATTAATTAACTAGGGGCCCAGTGCACAAATTTGTGCACCTTGAAAGGACTTGTGGGCTTCGAGGTGAGCATAGCGGTGGGTCTCGGCTCATCCTCCACACCCCCGCCTGGCCCCTCCCACCACAGCCCCCAGTCCCCTGTCTGCTGACAGCCCTGCTCCCCCCACCACCGTCGCTCCCACACACCGACAGCAGAGTAATTGAGGCCGGCACCAGCAGCAGATGCGAACAGGGCTGATGCCTGTCATGATTTGAACGCACCTCCTGTTGGTCAGCACACGTCATAGA